ACTCTTAATAAATAATAGTAAAATATTTGAACTTATATTAAGAAAATACAATAATATACATACTGTAATATAAGTTTACCAAAATATTCAGAGCATACACAGCTTAACCCTTTAATTACATGCCAACTGCTATTTACATAACAAAATGACCTACTGATTAAGTTGCTTCTGATCTGATGATTGCAGGAGTAATACTGTCAAGCTGCTTCACCTGTCTCGTCTATTTCCTCGGATCCTACGTGTGAAACACTCACACGCTAAGTCATCGACTTAGTGAGGCAATAATAATAAGGCAATTGTAATGAAAATGTCATGATCATATGAGATGAAATGCAAACATGTACTTAATCAATGTAGTATACATCATCAATACCCATACCTGTAAGCGTATGACTGTAACATTTATGAATCTGTATTAATAAGTTTATTGGCCCATGATAGCATATTGAGAACCTAAGGTATTTGAGTAATGTGAGGTTGTGCACTATGCTGTCACCACAGCTCGTATAAATGCACCGAAGTACCCCGTAGAATTGTACCGAAGTGCCCCGTAGAATTGCACCGTAGTGCCATATAATGATGTCCATAAGGACCACATAGAATTCCTTAAGAATCATATACATATACTATGGATCAAGTATGTGTCTTTCAAGACTTCACACAGGTTCCAAAGGATATACATATGTCCTAAAGAACCGAGTATACCCTCTACCCTTGGCATGCCAACTATACCTATAGTTCTCATCTACATAACATGGGCTTTTACATTTCAAGTAGTCTATATCGCGTAGACATGTAAATTCTTACCTTTTCACATAGCTCATAACTTTTCCCACATAGTCATGTCATATAATGCATTTTATATGAATTCATGTCATGTCTCATAATACCGACTATGCTCATGTACCAAGATATGAAATCTAGACTTATCACAAGTCTAGAATGGAGTATATTTCTATAATCATGCTATGCATATGCACTCACCTATACTTCTTTGCCTTTTCCTCGATCGATCCTACTGGTAGATTGTTCCCGAACTTGTGTAGGCTCGGTATCTACATAAACATAATTTTCAAGATGATCATCAGATGTCTATGTCTTGCAATTAAGCTTTAATAGCTTATTAATTTAAGAAATTAATAGCTTAGTCTTTCTTTCTTTTCTTCTCTTTTTTTTTCCTCATGGGGGAATCGGTTCCCCCCCTGGGGTATCGGTTCCCCTCTAGCATTCTGGAATTTCATATCCGTTGAGGGGGTATCGGTTCCCCCTGGGGGTATCGATTCCCCTCTAGCATTCTGGAAATCATATTCGTTGAGGGGGCATCGGTTCCCCTTGAATGGGTACCGATTCCCCTAGCCCGAAAATCCTAATTTGAGCTCGGAAATCATCCCATTTCAGATCAAACATACATATTTCACTCTCTTTACTACTCTTAGCTTTCATACACTTACTTTAACTAATTATTATCCATTAAATACCTCTAAACTTAGAAATCTAATTCTCCATGTAGAATTTAAGAATCCACCCAAATTCCAATATGTTCTAATTTGAATTCTAACACCTCATACTTCTTAGTTAGCTTCTTGACAAGTCAAAAATCTTATTCAAACTTCAAAAACTCATTCCTATCAAAATTTCATCTAAAAATTCATTTTCCAAATCTATCTCTAAAACACTTATCTTGTTGTTTTAATGTCATATAAGCTTTCCTTTAGCTTATATAACATCCAAACTTTCATTTCCAATCTTAAAAATCAAAGAAACTACCAAGGTTCAGATTTTTACCTTTACTTGCAAGCTTCACGTTGAGAGAAGGAAGAGAAGAAAATAAGGAAGAAGGAAGAAGAAATGGGAGGGTTCTGGAAACCTAATGTCACACGTGGGTTCTCATATAACCCCATAACATTTTATTTTAATTAAAAATTCCTTACAAATGACCATTTGGTCCTTACCTCCATCTCATATTTACTAACCATACTTTTTAAACTATATAATTATTCTACTTTAATCACCAAATGTTGAAACTTTGCAAATTAATCACTCACCCGACATGGAGGATGTTACAAGGATGACTCAAGAACTGTTCATAAAGAACACAAGTAAACCAAAACCCTTCTCCTCAACATGGAGACAACTTCAAAGAAAAAATATATAAATTTATAGGAAAGATTGGAACCGCTTACATCTGTTAACCAAAAATCAAGAATTGACTTAATCTTCTCATTCTGCTTATCATAAATCGGCTTGCGTATTTCATTGTACTTCTGCTCCACTTCCAAAACTTTCTCACTCGCCTCCTCATTGATCTAAAAAATACCAATAAGAAACAACAAAAGTTTAAAAATAGAAACACCATGTATAACCATTTACCAGCTATAAATAAGGTCAAAGAAAACATATCCAACTTAAATCACCTCTGCAATAAGACATAAGATCCTAAAGTAACCACCTACAACAATGTGTTGAACGACTCTTTACATCATGTGGAAGAGAACAATTAAGAGACTAAAGCTTTTTGCAATGACGCGATGCAGAACATAAAAATGACTACGAAAGCTGATCAGGTACAGAAATTAACAATCCGGTTTTACCACACAACCCCCCCGGGTGTGGCAATAAGACACAAATGTAAAGGAACTCTCCCCCCCGGCGGGCAATAAGACACAAACGTAAAGGAACTTCCCCACCTTATCTAAGCGAGGGAGGCACTTAACACGTGGAAGAGAATAATCAAGGGACTCGAGCTTCCTAAAAAATGCAGAACATAAAAACGACATAGGAAGACTGGATACAGAAATTAACAATCCCATTAACGCCTTCTCCGCAATAAGACATGATACTCAAAAGTGACCTCTCAAAAACTCGTGTTTAAGACAACAAGTGGACACTTAAACGCGTAGAAGGAAATAATTAAGCTCGTCCATATAATTCAGACAGATCCAACATACAAAGTTGATCAGGTACGGTAATTACTAATCAAAGAAACAAAATTATAAACATTAATTTCATTGACGCAAAATTGTTGTTACAGAAAATTCAATACTCACACACTTAAAATATTCCCAGATAAACACGAGAAAATCCAAAATTTCCCTGCAGTATTCCTCAAAATTTCTGATAAACCATATACAAAGAGCGGAAAAACATGAACGGATATATAACTGAAAGTGAAATGAGAATGAGAAATTTGGACCTTTTCTTGGATCTCTTGAAGCTTCTCGATGGAAAGAATGAGGTCTCCGTCGATTTGTTTAGATTTATCTTCTTCTCCATTCTCTGCTACTTTCATATTCTTTCCTTTGTCTGCCACCATTTTGTTTTATTTCTTACAGCCAAACGATGAAAAATCAAAACCCTAACCTAAATAATTGCCTATTTCTCTCTCTTTTTTCTAAAACCCTAATATTATTTCCCTCTCATTGGATAGCGACGAGTGATAAAGATGCTTTGTTTAGGGGTTTATGTTTAACTTCGGCGGGAATAAAAATTATGTGAAGTAGGAAAAGTGAAAAGGGGTTAAAGGTTGGTGGATTTAAAAAATTGTAAACTTGTGGCGTTTGCATAAAAACGCCACTGAAACACGAGTCTTTAGCGGCGTTTTTATAAGAAAATGCCACTAAAACAAGAGTCTATAGCGGCGTTTATATAAAAACGCCACTAAAGTACGAGTCTTTAATGGCGTTTATATAAAAATGCTACTAAAACATCAGTCTTCAGCGGCGTTTGTATAAAAACGCCAGTAAAACACGAGTTTTTAGCGGCGTTTGTATAAGAACGCCGCTAAAGTACGAGTCTTTTACGACGTTTATATAGAAACGCCACTAAAACAATAGTCTATAGCGGCGTTTATATAAAAACGTCACTAAAGTACTAGTCTTTAGCGACATTTGTATAAAAATGCCACTAACGTATGAGTCTATAGCGGCGTTTAAAAAACGCCACTAACGTATAAGTCTATAGCAACATTTGTACCAAAGCGTCACTAAAATACGAGTCTATAGCGGCGTTTTTATAAAAACACCGCTAAAGTACTACTTTGTCGCGGCGTTTTGTATAAAAACGCCGCTAAAGTTACTATTTTGTGGCGTTTGGAATGTAAACGCCGCTATATGTTTAAAGTTAGTGCCGTTTACTCTTAAAACGCCGCTAAAAACGCCGCGGTAGAACAGTTTTGCTGTAGTGCCCGCAACATATTGTGTAAAGCATGCACACCAGTTTTGAAGCGAAAGTGTGAGAATCACTGCATAAATTCATAATTGTAATTTGGATCCATTGCAAACCAATGAATCCTTTTTCACTTTCGAGATGAATGGAACATGTCCATATCCACCACATCAACCACCTTATATATACGATATCGTCCAAGAAAAGAATCCTACCGTGTTGCTGTTGCATGTTTTTTTCTAAATTACGTTCAAACGTACAATATTTTTAAAAATATATATATTTTAGACTATTCAAATCTCATTCCAATTCTATTAAGATAGTGCTTAAACCCAGCTCACTAAGAGGGGATAAATCTCTTTAAATTGTTGAAATCATCCAATAAATTCTATAATTAGGGTCGGAATATAACTCAGAAGTAAATAATAAAATTTTAAAAATAAAAATTATGACTCATTAGATGAGTAAAAATAAACGAATGAAATTAACGGTAGGAGATGAAAATATATTCATTAGAAAAAAATAATAAAATAATTTAAGTCATCTATTTTCTTTAATCCAATAATTTAAATATAAGTAAAATAAAAAAAATTACATTGCATAAGTAAATTATAACTCATATAATAATAACTAATATATAATAATTATAATATTATTAAACGATAATATAGATATATAATAAAAATGATTTTTTGGCATATATGATATTTTATTCAAAAACTAAACTCAGCTGAGTTAACCTAAACGATCTAAAATATTTTAAAATTTATGGCCAAACCGAATCCATCTCGGCCTATGAACAGGCAACCTCTTTCTCGTTAACCCAAATCCATGAATAACTAAGCTTATATTTATATACGCGAAACCAAAAAAGCACCCGCCTGTTTTACTGCAGTCAGCCCTAGTATTGGATTTGGCGCTACATTGCAACTCTTGATAAATCTCCAGCCACACCTTCTCGCGTTGAATAATTTGAATTGGCTTTCTTCTCCAGAGGTAATTTCACGAGTTCTGTTTTCACTATCATTGCGTTTCTCACTGCTTAATTACGACAAACGAGAAAGTAAATCTTGAATTTAAAGTAAATCTTGAATTTAAATTTTGTTTGACTTATTGTTGATTTTACAATTTATTATTATTTTTCTTCACTCACTGTCTGTCAAATAAAACTGAGCATTAATTGCAAATAAGAGCAGGTTTTTGGTTAATCCAGTGAAACTAGTGTTGTTTATTTGTTTGATTAAAATTATTTTTTCTTTTTCGTATATGTGATGAGCTTGGTTATTGAGTTTTTTTTACGCCAATTGCAGATCAGAAGTGACTGAATATGGATTTTGATGAATATGAGTATTTAGAAAAAGCAGTTGAGAATCTTGAGCCTCAAAAGTCGAAAAATGAAGATGGAAATGACAGCTTTAATGCTGTCAAATCGGAGAGAAGTCGGAATAGGAGTTCTAAGCATAAGAGGGAGGAGCGAGCTGATGATTCTGATGATTATAATCATCTTTCCAAGCACTCAAAGTCAAAAGAGGATTCATGGCAAGATCATGACAGGCACAAGGAACGAGGCTTATCTCACAGACAGTCACAGTCTAGAGACGGGAGAAGGATAGGCACCAAAGTAGTCGAGAACACAGAGCCAAGGACCCCAAGGATAGGGAAGAGAGAAATGGGAGGGAAAGAGAGAAGGAACGTTTTAGGAAAGACCGTGATCGTGAAAGTGAGAGGGACGGACAAAGGGAAAGGGAGAGAGAGCGGTCAAGGAGAAGCAGGAGTCGATCAGAAAGAGAACCAGACAAGAGTCATGACAGAGAGTTTAGAGAAAGAGAAAAGGAAAGGGAGCCAAGGGAACAAGACAGAGAAAGCAGGTACCCCTGCATATTTTTGTCACTTTCATTTGTTTAACTTTTGGCTTCTTTGTGCATGCCTTACTTGTCATATTTGCCTTGAGGATTACTTTGATGCATAGTTGCTATTATTAATTTGAGGCAGTGATATCATGCCAGTAATTTTTTCAACATGCACTTTTCCTATTTATTTGCAAGTCTATACAGTATTTATGATTGTTATTGTGATATTTCTCATGTAATTCTGATTTGGATTCTTTTTTAGATTGTGTTTATTCCTAGAGTTGTATATTCTGCGATATGATCTTGTTAGTGATGTGAATTTTAAAGAAATGATTTCTTAGTTCATTTTCTGCAATCTCTGTTGTTCTAGTGACCAAATTCAATGTAGATATTTTCTCCATGTTCTTGTCTTCAGTTTCTCAAAGCTTTCTTAAGGTTGACATTGCTATATGTCAAACCCATTCAACATGGCTCCGCGTTTCACATGTAACCACATAGAAGATCAAGATGATCAACTTTTTCTCTGCCATAGCTAGGCTTTATCAATTATTTCTTCCAAGTGTAATTCTTGCTTGCTTTACAGGTTCTATATGGCTACCTAATTACTTCTTGTTCCTCCTGCTCTTAAGTTTCATATGGTTCTATTTATTTAGTCTTCCAAATTCTGATATTGAACATTAGATCTGGGAACTCGCGTATGTTCTAGAGCTATCTTTAGATGATCTTCTTGGCAATTGGGCCAGGCACTGGATCTCAGGTCATGGGATTTAAGTACTATTGCTACACTATATTTGTAAGCTTGCTTTGCAAGAATGGAGTTTTTTTTTTATAAGATTTGAAGGCCTCATTAAAAACCACCTTCTTAATTAATGGAGTTTATGTGTAAACTCCTTAATCAGCGGAAGACGGAAAAGGGTGCCTTATAACTTTATTAAATAAAGTAGGAATTACAACCTAGAGGAAGAAAACCCAATAACCCTTACAAGTAATCACTCGAAAAACAAAATACATAAAATTCAGCCTATACCCGCTTTTGCTAAGGCATCAGCCTCCATATTAGCTGTCCTTGTAACCCATCTAACAATTCCCCCACAAAACCTAAGTTTTACAACTATATCTTTAGCAATAAAAGCATACACAGTTGGACAAGAATCAGCTTTAATAATCCAGTCCACAATTACCCTGCTGTCACTCTCAACAATCAAACGAAATTTTTTCCACCCTTGGATAGATGCAACGAAAACAAGTCCCCTTTAAATAGCTTTAAGTTCCTTCAATGTTGGAGGACCCGGACCCTCTGACTCCTGAAAAGTTCCTAATATTGCACCAAGATGATCCCTTAAAATGCCTCCCAACCCGCTTTTCTTCCAATCACTACTAGTGGCAGCATCCACATTCAATTTAATGAAGCCTATAGGAGGAGGACACCAGGGAAAAATAGAAGACTTTAGGAACTTGTAGGACGAATGAGAATCCCCTATTGAAGGGTCCGAAATCAACGAGTCTTTAGGAATAGAGATATCCTTATACTTAGCTAGGAACCAAGATGCAAGCCTGACTCTTGCTAAAAAGAATAATTCAATCTGGTCCAACTTCCCCCTTTCAAAAACAATAAAATTCCTGGTTTTCCAAATGGTCCAAATAACAACCCCAGGAATGAATGACCATATAGCAGAATTTGGCTTCAACTCTTCCCAGCCTAATAGAAAAGTTTTAGCATCTTCATGAAGAACAGAACTAAAACTCCACAATTGTAAAAATTTATTCCATAATGCCCACACAACTGAACAAGAAAAGAATAAATGCGAGGAAGACTCATCAACCTTTTTACAAAGAGGACATAAAACATCATCAATTCCTTGAACTCCTCTTATTGCCAATTCTGTTTTAACATCAAGCTTTTGCTGCACAATTTACCACAATAATGTTTCAACTTGTGGTGGTAGTAATCCTCTCCAAACAACCTTCATCTAGAATTAAACCTCTTCGGAACCAGTAACACACTTCTTAACACAAGAACTGACTGTAAACATACCATCCCCACTGCCTTTCTAAATTAAGCCATCACTGGATTCAGTAGTCAGAGAAACAAGAGAAATAGTGCTCATCAAGTTACACCATTGTTCCATCTCGCAATCATTTAAATTTCTTCTAACTTGAACATCCCAAATCCAGCCCGATGGATGAAAATCTCCAAACTCACATAGCTTTCATGATTTATTAGTAGCAATCAAAAACAATCTTGGAAAAATTACCTGTAGCGGATAATCTGTTACCCAAACATCCTGCCAAAATTGAATGTGCTTACCATTGCCAACTTGAAAGCTACATAAGGAACAAAAATTAGAACCAAATGGATCTTGCTTGAAATAATTATTAACCACTGCTCTCCACTGCCAAGAAATACAAGCTGGAAGATTACTGTCAAACAATAACCTAGAGGAATTGAAACTGTATTTAGAACAAATAAATCTTCTCCAAACCGAATTTCTCTCGTTTGCAAATCTCCAGGACCATTTCCCTAGCAAAGCTCTGTTCATGAAATTCAGATTACGTACTCCCAACCCTCCCTCATTCTTAGGTTTACAAACTTCATCCCATTTAACCCAGTGAATTTCCTTTTTACCATTCCCACCTCCCCATATAAAATTAGTCATAATAGAATTGAGAGCCTTCAGGATTGAAGCTGGAACCTTAAACATTGACAAAAAATAAGTGGCCAGTGAGCATAAGACAGATTTAATCAAAACCATTCTTCCAGCTAGTGATAAAGTCGCTGCCTTCCAACCTGCCAATTTTGAGTGAAAATTCTGCACCACCGGTTCCCAAATAACTGAGGAATTCTTTATTGCACCTAGAGGGAGACCTAGATAATTAGAGGAAAAACTACCCACTGCACAACCAATGGAATCTGCCCAAGTTTGAACCTCCTCTAGAGATATGTTTACTCCAAACAGTCTGTTCTTCTTGAGGTTTAGTTGCAGCCCTGACATAACCTCAAACACTCTAAGCACTCTCTTCACATTCATTATCTGCATCTTCGAAGTCCCACAAAAAATGATTACATCAACTGCAAATTGTAAATGTGTAAGATTGAAAGACCCTTTATTAGGATTAGTAAATTCAACAATTCCCCTACTAGATTAAATAATAAGGGAGAGAGTGAATAACCCTGTCTTAGCCCCTTTGCCATTGAAAACTCCTCCGTTGGAACCCCATTAACCAACACCGAAATCGAAGTTGTAGTAACACATCTCCTAATCCAACTAATCCAAGTAGAGCCGAATCCCATTTTTTCCATTACCTTAAACAAAATAGGCCAATCAACAATATCGTAAACCTTCTTGAAATCAACTTTCAAAACACAACCCTTTAGCCCTTTCTTTCTCCAATAATCTATACCCTCGTTTGCAATTAGAGAGCAATCCAAAATCTGTCGACCGGGTATGAAAGCAAATTGAGTCGGGCTTATGATATCTCCTTTACAACTTCTAAGCCTCCTTGAAAGACACTTGGTTAAAATTTTGTAAACTCCTCCCACTAAGCTTATGGGTCTAAAATCGTCAAGGCTCCCATTATTAGACCCTTTAGGAATAAGGGTGATAAACGTATGGTTAATACCATGCTCCCATTCTATCCCCAAAGAGAATTTGTGAAAAAAATCCATAATGTTATCCTTTAGCACAGGCCAAAACCTTTTGAAGAAATCCAAATTCAATCCGTCCGGTCCCGGAGCTTTGTTACTATCACAAGACTTTAGAGTCTCCCACACTTCCTCCTCGAAAAAAACCTTCTCTAAAAGACTACTTTGTTCGAAAGAGATTTTAGGGAAATTCAACCCTATATCTTCAACCTCCAGTGTAGACCTCTCATTGAAAATTTTAAAAAAGTGATCTTTTACAGCAGTTTTAATAACATCTGGGTCTCTTGTAAAATTCCCATTCACCTTTAAAACAATAAATGCATTTTGTTTTCTCCTCACCGATGCACAAGTATGAAAGTATCTTGTGTTTCGATCTCCATCATTCACCCACTTTTGTCTAGAATTTTGATGCCAAATATGCTCCTCAATTCTATGAAGTCTCCACAGTTCTCTTCTACATGCATTTAACTCATCAACAATCTCCTGAATCGAACTGCCATGCCTTTGCTGTGCTACCACCTCAAGCTTTTGAATTTTATTTTCTAAATCAGAAATTGCAGTCCCCGGAAACTTGTTCTTCTTCCATGCCCACTGTTTGATGGCTAATTTAGAGTTCTTCAAAATACCAAGAATTCCTAATTTTCTCTTGCGCTTCTTACAACCTGTAATTGTTTGACAAACCATTTCCTGGAAACCATCTTCCTCCATCACATAATTGTATAGTCTAAAAGGCTTGTTTCCCCAATTAACACCTCCGTTTTGTAACAATACAACATTGTGATCTGAGATGGGCTTAAGAATAAGTGACTGAATAATCTCAGGAAAAGAAGCCAAGAATTGTCCATTCACCAAGAATCTGTCCAATCTAACAAAAGTGGGATCATCTTGGTTATTACTCCAAGTAAATCATTCCCCCTCCATAGGCAGATTAATTAATCCTACCGACTGAATAAAATGAGAGAAAATCCTCATTGAGACTCTATTCTGAGCTCTACCCATCTTCTCATCTTCACACAAGTAAACATTGAAATCTCCTCCAACACAAACCGGCAGATTCTGTCCCGAAATGAATTGACTAAGTTCTTCAAAGAAGCTTTCTTTTTCCTCCTCCACAGAAGGACCATACACATTAATGAGGACGCTTCTGAACTGATTAAATATGAATTTTCCTGTAACCGCAATTAATCTTCTGTTTATGCAATGATCTTCCCTCTCAAACACTTCATCATCCCAGCAACATAATAACCCCCCTGAAGAACCAATAGCTGGCGATTCAACAACCCCTTGAAAACCATTTAACCCGTTTCTTCTTAGAAAAGACCTTTGTATCTTCTCTGCTTTGGTTTCTTGAAGCCAAAGAAAAGAAGGATGAGAGTTTGCAACTAATCTCTGCACCGCTCTTTGTTTTTCCTTTTACCCAAACCCCTTATATTCCATGTAATTATGGCTAAGTTTTCCTTCATGATTAGTAACTGAACAATCCCCAAAACCCCAATATGACTCTCAATTAGCCATATTACAACCTTTCTCTAAGTTAATTATTTTTTCCAAAAAAGCTTCCTTCCCCTGCTTGAAGGAAACCCCCAAAATTTGACTAACTTGCCATGTAGCGACTGCTTCGTCTAAGAGGTTAGAAAAGACTGAAGAAGCTGCTGTAGAAATACTGACTTGATCTATAGCTTATCTAAACAATAATCTTTTAACTCTTCTACTGGTCAATCGGGAATTGGATAGAAAAGGTTGTTTATCCAAATCACATCCTACAGACTCTCCATCTAAACCTCCACCACCAGATTCCAGGACTGAATTTGGAATCTCACAATCTAGTAAATTAAGCCCTACTGTATTAGAAGTCTGCTGAACATATGAGCAAAACTGATCCTTAACCATCTTTGAATTTGAAACAACCTCGTTAACAATATTTCCATTCTGATTATTCCCATGCCAGTAATTCCTCTCCCTACTTCTGTAAACTCTACTATAACATGGCATTCTCCTCTTCTCTAAAGGCACACTCTTGGAGGAATGCGAGCTTCTGTGCACTGTTAACGAACGACCTCTGGAATGATCTTTTAATAACTCTGAATTAGAAACTAACATCAATGACTTAGTTTTTTTAGCTCACTGTCTTCACTGCCAAATGAATCAGAATTCTTACTGGACCCTTTTAACTGTTTCATATCACTGCTCTCCTCTGCTATTCTTCTATTTTTAACCAGTTTACCAAACTTGTTAATTGTGTAAGCTGGCCCAGAAGGAATTAATTTATAAAAATCCAGTCCAGGCAGCTCAAATCATCCGGTTGGGCCTGTGATCCATTAGTCGAAATATTTGAATTCCTTACACCCAAACCTGCAAACTCTCCTCCTCTGTTATTCCCAACGTTCTGTAAACCTGAAAAACTTTTTCTAATACTCTTCCCATGTTTGGTAAATCTTGGAGAATGTGTTTCCCCATCAGTTTCTGCTGAGCCAGAAAAAACTCCCTTCTCTATCCAAAAGTCAACTTTTTGTCTGCATTTCTCTGCTGATTTGACTGGACTTTCCTCAAATTCTGACATATCCCTATCTTCCTCGTCCTCATACCTCAGCTCACCACAATTTTCTCCAACTACTCCGACCACCGGAGAAATTTTGAAAAAAGGCTTTGAATCATCATAAACCGATCCAATCTTGATATTAACTCTGAACGATCTCCCATAGGATCCAAGAATAATAAATTCTGGCACATCAAACGGGCTAACAACTCTCATAAGAATCCTCGCAGAAGTGAGATCTTCCCTGTTCTTGGTGGAGTCATGAATTTCCACCATATTTCCCCATCTCCCAGCTATTCGTTCTAAGAAGGATTCGTTCCAGCATAACAGAGGAATCCCGAATATCTCAACCTGGCAAAAAGCCATAGGAACTCCATCCTCATTCAGTAAAGGAGTCAATCTTTCAAACCACAAGCTTATCACATCTTTCTTCTTTGTCCATGCTTCCATCATATCTTCGTGGGATTTGAAAGAGATAACGCAGGAATTCCTGGCATATCCCCAGCCAACAATCTGAACTTCATAACCTTCATCATCAAAGAACTCCTTAACTGAGTTAAAATCCAAGGAAAGAGATATTGGAGGTTTAGGCCTGAGTGGTGATATCATGTTATGATTTCCATTATCCTCCGACTTTTAAAAAAAAGGCTGCTAATCATATTTCTTCTGTTGCAGAAATGCTATTGAGGGTGTGATGGGCTTTGATTAACTTTGCAGTTCATCTTCATGTTCAGTGGGATACTAGATTGGCCATATTTTTTTCTTTTTACAGTATATAATCATTAAAATATTGTCTTGAAGTTTTAGGTTTTAGGTAACCAGAGTGCTTTCTTTTATTATCTCATGTTTGATTTCACTGCTATGGAGTTGATGCTTGATTTCCCTATATAGACTTGAGGTCTTATGTTGACTTTGTTTAGTTCCCTGCAGGACCATGTAACAGGGGTTTGGCATTTTTATGCATGTTGGAGAGAATTTGATGCAGGATTTTGCACTTCTCTTTTTTGTATTTTTTTGGGCAGTGATTGCATGAAGCATACATTTGAGAGATCTCTTCACTTTCCAGAAGCAAATTTTGTTTTCTAATTTTCTTGCACCCCCACCCTCTCTTAATATTTTATACTTTTGAGCTGTTCAAATTTAAATTATTTTTTAAATAATATAAAAGGCTGTTTTCCCCCCTCTTTTCACAGGAGATATAGAAACAAAAGGAAGATGTGGCAGAGCCTGAGGTTGATCCAGAAAGAGATCAGAGAACTGTCTTTGCTTATCAGGTTAAGATGCATATATAATGTTTGTTCTATTCTGTTTTTGCACGTCTCATGTTTTTCCTCACGAGTGCTGGTGTAAAAATTTGTAAACTATTTTTGACAGATATCCTTGAAGGCTAATGAAAGAGACGTTTATGAATTCTTCACTAGAGCTGGCAAGGTGAGGTCTACTTTTATTTCATGGTTCCACCTCAAGTTTTCTTCTATACAGGTTACATTAGGCAAAAACTCACATAGTTCTTAAAAGTAATCTGCATTATGCTTAAGATCTTATTTGTTTATGTGATAGAACTCATTTTTATTTAGTTACCATTTTATTCTTGCATTAGGGATTTGTTAGTAATTGTGATTTTTTTTTTTTGATAAGAATGTTAGTAATTGTAATCATTATGAAGAACGTATAAATTAATGTAATTTACCAAAACGGTGTGCTGGAGTTCTCTACTGTAATTAGTTTCCAAGGGACTGGATTCATATGCTTTAGTTGTCATAAAATTTAAGCATTCTAATTTGCTTTTGATCCTTTATTTAATCTGGTTTTAAACACTTCAGTGTGTGTTTCTAATTGAAACTTGAAATTACTTTTAAGTTATAGAATGACTTGTTTATTTTGTTTTAAACAAAAAGATGCCTACTACAATGTATAATGTATTACTTGGATTCTTTTAACTGTATATAAAAATCATAACGGATGCAGGCAAATAAAGATCAATATGCAGCCTTTCTTTTGGTTTTGTCTTTGATGGGTGGTGTTGTTTTCTTTCTTACGTTTTTTTTTGGTCCTGATACTTATTAATCACAATTTTCAGGTGCGAGATGTTCGCCTCATAATGGATCGAAATTCAAGACGTTCTAGGGGGGTTGGGTGAGTACTAAAACTCAATGACTATAACTTGCTTTTCTCGGGTGTTATTTGGTTGTTTTTTGCAGGTGAACTTAAAACAACATGCAAAATTTTGTTAAATTTGTAAATTCATTTTTGATGAAGTGGTGTGGGGTGGTTTTGTTATTATGCCTTCATATTTCTATCTGAGTTATTATGGATCTTTATTTAATTTCTTTGTGCAGGTACATTGAGTTCTATGATGTAATGTCAGTCCCCATGGCAATAGCCCTCTCTGGACAGCCTCTTCTTGGTCAACCAGTGATGGTGAAACCGTCTGAAGCTGAGAAGAATCTTGTTCAGTCAACTACATCTGTGGCAGCCGGACAGACTGGTCCATACGCAGCTGGGGGTAGAAGGTTGTATGTTGGTAACCTACATTTCAACATCACGGAAGATCAACTTCGTCAGGTAAGATTGTAGGGACTGATAAACATTCTATGTTTGAATCGGGTCTTGATTATTGGATTTGAATGTTAACTTTTAATCACTCGGTCTTGGATTATAACCGGAAAGCTTTATTATGGAGTCAAGTAGCATCTAAACTGATATTAGAAGAGTTGAATTAAATTTTTAGGGAGGGAAACATCCAAAGATATGAGAGCACAAAACCTAGACATTGCATTCACGATTTCACGTGTCTTTGAACTTCTAATTCATGTGGTGCATTAGATGCCTTGCAATAACATGCAGACTTCAAAAGATTTTGTTCAATAGCTTTGGAAAACAGACTCATAAATATGGTAGTCTTGGCTACAAAATTGACTTGGAGAGAAACTCCCACCACAATGAGACTTCATATAAACTGAACTACTGCCTCTGTTCTTGTATCTTTACCAAGCTGTTCTTTACAATTTTGCCGGTAACAATAATTTGCTCTTCAACTCAAAGTTTTCTCCTTTTCTAATGAGATAATGCGGATTCCATTTTTTATACCAGTTTAACTAAATACTAAAATCATTCACTGGGATTTGAGTAATCAGATATTTTAGTAAGCAATATGAAATAAGCTCTTAAATGTGCTTTTGTTACTTGATTTTTTCATTTAATATTTGCTAGTCCACTTACCCTGGAGATATTTTTAGTATATGGTTGCTCTTAGTCATCTTTTACAATGATTATACATCCCTCATTCTCCTCTCTCTCTCTCTCTCTCTCTCTGTGATTCTCATAATTGGGACATTATCTCTTTATCATATTTCCTTGAGAGCCTTGTACTTTGTTTGGATCCATATCTCTTATTTGTTTAAAATGCTCAGGTTTTCGAATCTTTTGGTTCTGTGGAGTTGGTCCAGTTGCCTCTTGATGAAACCGGTCATTCTAAAGGTTTTGGTTTTGTCCAGGTAATACTTAGTGATGCAACTTGAGAAATTATTGGGATTTTTCTTTAGCAAATCCTTGACCCATATTCTATAGAATCTTTTGCTTTGACATTACATAATTATGTTTTTGCTCTATATTGATAAACTATAATTAACTATTTGTAATCAAACAGGCTTTTTTGGGTATGATACTGTAATTATTCTTGACAGCAGGGATTCTGTTTTGAAAGGATAATGAAATAATTGTTTGTGCAGTTTGCCCGTCTGGAAGATGCAAAGAATGCACTGAATTTGAATGGACAGCTGGAGATTGGGGGTCAAGTAATCAAGGTAATCATGGGTATTGATGTCTTAGTTTTGTATGAGCATATGCATATATTTGTTGATATATGATTTTAGGTTCCTACTGCATTTGAATCTTTAACTACTGAAGTGAATTATCTATAAGTCTACAAACATGTAACCTTCTATACTCTTTTGTCACCAACTTTTCTTTTAGCTGCTGATCTATAGACTATACATCTATCAATTTTCTAGCCACCAGGCAACCTTAACAAAGACGGCTTATATATACATGTATATTATATATTTCTTTTTCCATATGTTTAGGTATCAACTGTTACCGATCAAAGTGCATTGCAAGATGTTGGGACAACTGCAGCTGATCTTGATGATGATGATGGTGCTGGTGGCTTTGTAAGTGTTATACTCCCATTTTCTGTTACTGACCCAAAATTGCGTTATCCTTCTAAAAGTGGTAACATTTTGATAAAAAAATGATTTTTGTTGTTTGACATTGCATTTGAACTCATGACATCATGCTTAGGCCATCAGCAACTGACTATTTTCCCCAAAGGATAGCCAACAAATGAGTAGTTTCATAGAATATGTCCTTGTGGCTGTTTCACATGTCTTTTGTTTTGCTAGCTTTATCAATATTTGATGAATTTGGTTAGTTTCAGCATGCACAATTTTTGACTTTTTAGTAAGCTCACAAAACATTCTTATGAATTTCAGTCTTTGAATTCATCATCTCGAGCACTTCTTATGGCAAAGCTGGATCGCAGTGGCACCGCATCAAGTTTTCCTCTGAATCTTGTAGTGGTTTAATTTATATGTTTTCTTGTTGAAACTGCATTTCCCTCTATTATTTGCAGTATTACTGGCTCGGTAGGCATCCCTGTTAATAATATCACTGGCCTTACTGCTTCAACAGCACCAATTATTGGAGTTGCACCGTTGTTGCCATCCCTTGTTCCTCCTACTATACAGGCCTCTACTTCTACAATTTCTGGACTTCCAGGTGGCCTACAACTCCCTACTAATGGCATCCCTACTATTGACACAATCGGAAGTCCAAGCGAATGCCTATTGTTAAAGAATATGTTTGATCCAACTCTGGAGGTATGTGCCTGCACCCAAATTTTTAGTGGTTTTTTTTCGTGTCTAACCATATTGTATTCTTTCGGCAGATGGAACCTGATTTTGATCTGGATATCAAAGAAGATGTTCAGGAAGAATGTACTAAATTTGGGAAAGTGAAGCATATACATGTAGACAGGTAAAATGTGGATCAGACTCAGTTTGAGTGTCAGAATATGAATATATATCCAAAAAAAACCTGGTTTGATTTTTTTTATATGTTTTCATATATTTGGAGGATCATGCCTTCTTTAACTTATGTTTCTAGAAAAAATTAATTGTACCCGTTAACATAGCTTTTATTCTCTATATCTCCTTTTTTTTTATGACTGTCGTCATGCGACTCATTGATTTGCTTCAACAGGGAAAGTGCTGGTTTTGTCTACTTACGATTTGAGGATGCACAAGGTGCTATCAATGCTCAACGGAACCTACATGGTAGATGGTTTGCTGGAAAAATGATCACCGCAACATTCCTGGTTAAAACCATTTCTTTATTTTATCTTGTATTTTTAAGTTTTTCTCTTCTTTTTTGTATTTTTAAAATAAAAATGTGCGGCTTACAGGTGCCACAAACTTACGAATCAAAGTTTCCAGAAAGCAACAGATAGTTGGATGATGTTTCCAGAAAGAGGTTTAAATCCCCGCATGAACTACAAATCCCTTGGAACTCGTTTGGTAAGGGAAATTTAAGCATATATATTTGGACTTAGATGCAGTATCCCTACTAAGTTCATTTTCCCATGTTTGATATACCCATTTGAAGAAGGTAGGAACCACTTTTTGGTACAACTAGGAATAGTTGTGATGACAATGGAATACTTGTAAGACCTTTCTTTTGTGTGTTTAATATAAAGATTATCATGTCTTATTTTCTAACAACTTAATTTCTTATGGTAATTTTGATTCTGTGGCAAAAAAAAAAAAGAATCTGGGGCACTGCTACTTGGAAAATGGGAAGTTAGATATTCATTTTCGATTGGTAGCATGCCATCTTAATTAGTTACTGTAATGTGGTACTTTACACCCCTGAGATGTCAAAGAGGTATAAATGTTTTAGGCATCCACACATTCATCTTATTGGTTGGATTGGATTCAGATGAACAATAGATTCCATTGTATGTTCATACACTTCAACCCTACGTGTTAAACTTATAGTCTTGATAACAAGACTAAATTACATGTTTAGTACCTAAATTATTATTTTTTTGTGTTTTGCTTAAATTTTATTTAATTTTTTAAATCATACATTATGTTTAATTTAGGTTTTATTTTTGGTACCGTCGTTAAAAAAGTGATGATGTGTTACCATAAGGTAATGTGACATTATCATTGAAAAAATTATCATATCAATAATTCTATTAATTTTTAGCTTAATGAAAAAAATAAGTGTTCAAATTACACCCTAAGTTAACTTTAGATGTCTAAAGAATTTTTTGTTAAAAATGTGTTTATTGCTTCTCCATTACACTTTTAGATGTCTAATGTTTTTTGTCATACTTTTAAGTGTCTATAAAGTAATGGTCATTAAAAAATTTGTTAAGTGATACGTGTCATGTTTTCACTTAACACAAAATTAAGTGTCTAAATTATACCTCAAGTTAACTTTAGGTGTCTAATTTTTTTCCGTTAAGAACAAGTGTTTTATCTTTAGATTATTATATGAGTTTAATATTTGTTTGAGGTTTGATTAGTGTTTTATTTTGTTGGTCAAATTTTGAATGAATCTAAAATTTTATTATTGTGCGCACCTATTTAATGTTATGATCCATTTAACATGATTTTATGACGGTAAATTTTAAGTGAATCATGAATCGAGTATTATTGTTTGATTTAAGTAAGTAAATTTAGCTGAGGTTAGATTCATGGAAGAAAAAAATTTCAAGATGATTATCATAATTTACGTAGAAATAATAGATTTCAATTAGTTTAACTAACTTAATTATAGGTTTGTTAAAAATTATTTATTTATTATACTAAAAAAATATATTAAGTAGAATATCGTTATAAACATATTAGATAAATTATGATAAAATATTATATAAAATAGTGACGTAATCTGATATAATAATAATTTCAATCTTTAAAAAGTAATAAAACTCATCAATTTAAAAGTAATATGACATAATTTAATAAATTAAATATTTATATTTAAATTTTTTATTATTTAACTCAAATAAAATATTAAATGTTAATCAATAACTAATTGATCTAATATGATAAAACATTAAATTTTGTAGGCACTTAAAATTAATTTAGGGTATAGTTTTAATACTTATTTTTGCACCAAACCTTAACTTTTTAAGGTTCAAATATCCAATTGATATCTAAATTTAACATTAGATAATATTTTGAGGGGGAAAAAGTTTAGATGCCAAAGAATGTAGCAGATGTTAGAACAAATGAACAATCCGCAACAACAATTTTTGTAGCAGATCATCGAACAATCCTAGTTTGCATCTCATTTTATCAACAACAGTAATATATCTAAATCGACCATCTAAGTACATTATTATTGCAGAATCGTTGTCCCATTTCCAGTTTAAATACAAAAAGTGTAGCTCTCGACAACCATCACTCTTCTTCTCCAAAAGAACCATTCAAATGGAATATAGATAATTTCAAAAAGAAAAAGGAATTCATACAGTATTCTTAAATCTTAATGATCCTCCTCCGAGCCAAAAACCTAGCAATGGGAGGCGTGAGCGCGACGGTGATCGGAACACGAACAGGGAACAACGCCTTGTTACAAATCACAGCCAATGCAAGGGCTCCGCCAGTGGAAGCAGCAAGCTCAGCCGTCCGATTCCTTTGCTTCTCCTCGACCGCCACCACCCTTGATTCCTCCATCGGTTCTTCCATCAAAAACCCATCTGATTGTGGAGACGGGTTTTGGTTCTTTTGGTCGTTCGAGAAGTCCGGGAGATGTAACTTGTCGAACAACGATTCGACGTCGACGTTGTTCTTGATTGCCACGTAAAGGCCGGTTATGGAAGCGGCAGAAACTGAGAAGTGGACGCCAAGTGCCACTTTCCCGTATTTCTTGACGAACTCTTTGAATCGGCTTCCACTGAAAGCAGCAGCCATTTCTTGAAGCTTTGTGGTTGATGCGTTTAGGGTTTTAGGGTTTAGCCAAATCAAGTGTTGAGTGCGCGAATTTCACTTGGGAGCTTCGGCTTCGCCCACGGGGCCTTTGGCTTTAAGTTACTAGTTTTTAGCTATGGAGATTGGAGAACATTGGGCCTACTTGCTAGGCTTTATGCTTTCCTTAGAGAATCCACTTTATCTCATCTAATGTGCCTAAGAAACTTGCCCTTTTGTTCAGTATACCCTGGACCACGTTTTGTTCGAGGAAAAAATTATTATTAAGGGAATAATTTTTTCAAATTACATTCTCATGTTTGATTTATGAAAATATCATTATTAGATAATAATTTATAACTAATAGTAGCAGTTTTAGGTTAAAATAGTGGGAATGCACCCCTAAAATAATGTATTATTTTTACATGAATCATTCTCAATTTTATTCTTGTTTTACTCAAAAGTACAAATATAATAACATATAAAAAGTTTGATTTAGTAAAATATTAATAAATTTGAGTAGTTAAAATTATTTTATATTTTAATGTTTAATATATTAATTATTTATAATTTTATGAGGTGAAAAATAACATTATTGTAAAATATGTAATTATTTAAAATAATATTTAACTTTGAGTTGTTGAAAAATATATCTTATACATTGAAAAATAATAGTTTTGTCCACTCGATACTATAATTTTATTTTTTTCTTCATATTATATTATATTTTATATTAAATAAATATGATAGTTATGAAAATTATTTAAAAATATAAGTTTAATATATTAATTATATTAATTGTATGCTCAATGTATTTTTTTTCAAAAATTAGATAATGTAACAATTACAATATTTCTGTGAATTTTCATTCAAATTTATAATTTAATATTAAAGTTTAGCATGTTGGAAAAAATATATATCACACGGATAATTTAGTAAAATATGTATCCAAGTAATCTTATACTCCTCTAATCAAATATTATAATCTTACATTCCTGCTAAACAAATCAAATAAGATAATACAATATTCTCGAAGCAATGTTACAATCTAATAATTTAATTCCCAAAAATAATCTTACACTCCGTGAATTAAACTGCCCTTAAATTATTTTTACTAACCTATGTTTAAGGATTTTCTTTCAATTCCAACTATCGTTATTTTTGTTACTTGTGAAGAATGAATACCTTTCATCGTAGAATTCTTTAATTATTAATCTTCTAATCAATTAAATAATATATGTATTGTTTCGATTTTAAAATCTTTCATCCCAATCCACCTTCTATTTTAGGAGAAAAAAATTAGTTTTAGCTTTTTTACAATTTAATTCTGATTTGAGAAAAAGTGAATTTAAAATTAAAATTTAGTTTGAAATTAATAAGAATTTATCTAATAAATACGAAGTTCAATTCACAGTCCAGAAATTAGTGTCACTTGAAAGTTGAATTATTTAATTTTTATACATACCTCTTATATTATAATTACTTTTAATATAAATATAACGTTCTAATATTAAGTTGAGTGGTTAATAAAGAAGAATCCAATTAAGCTTAGTGGGTGATAAAGTTAAAGGAATCCCAATTAGATGAAAAGGTAAAGCACTTGAAATAATTAATAATATCAGTGGCATAGAAAGAAAATTATAAATTATAAACGAAGGGAGGTTTGAATCCATATCATAGTAACCATCCATACTCTTAATACAAACACAAGAGATCGCAAATAAACATGAATTAAGATAGTATGGTTTTGGATGTTTAATTGCTGCGGAAAGATCCCAATGACTTGATAGCCGCAGCTCTGAGGATGTACTGATGGTATGCCGACGCTGCAAGAGCTCCCACAAATGGCCCAACCCAGAAAATCCACTGTTCATCAACCACACTAACTTCACAAATAAATAAACAAACACAGTAATTTGGTTTAAAAAGAAGGCAACTTACATGGTCATCCCAGGCCTTGTCACTGTTGTAAATAACAGCAGCGCCGAAGCTTCTAGCAGGATTGATACCAGTACCAGTGATGGGGATGGTAGCCAAGTGAACCATGAACACCGCGAATCCTATAGGTAGGGGAGCCAGCACGGGGACGTGTGAGTCGCGGGCGCTTCTTTTAGGGTCAGTGGCTGAGAAAACAGTGTAAACAAGCACGAATGTCCCAATAATCTCAGCTCCCAAAGCGGTCCCTTTGCTGTAACCAGTAGCCTCTGTGTTAGCACCGCCACCGAGGGAGTTGTACTCACTCTTCATGAACGCCTTCACCAGCCCAACACCACATATAGCACCCAAGCACTGAGCAACCATGTAAGCCACAGCCCCTATCAAAGACACCCTACGAGCCAAAAACAACCCAAATGTCACCGCTGGGTTGATGTGACCACCTGTAATGTAATTGTAAACCCAAAATCAAACAACTCCATATTCCTTTTTTCACATTTAAAAGTGTCTGTATTGTTTTTACCTGAGATACCGGCAGTGCAGTAAACGAGAATAAGGATCATGCCACCGAAAGCCCACGCAATGCCCTAGAGACCAACACCATCACATGCATCGTGTTGTTTTTTGTGGCCGATTAAGGTGGCAACGGTGACGTAGAGGAAAAGGAGGGTGGCGGTGAACTCGGCGATGAGGGCTCTGTGAAAAGACCAGAGTTTGATCTCAGCCATGTCGATGAGTGGTGCCGTTGGAGGATCCACATAGTCCTTTCGGCTCTGCCCTTCTTCGCTCACTTCCTTGGACATTTCTTTCTTCAATAATGGCAAAACAGTATTGTTGGTGTGGAGTGCTGTGTTTTGTGTCCTTTTTATAAACTGGGCAGCTATGTGGTGAATTTATGGATAAGGAAACGCTCCTTCTGGAACTAACTCCTACCACATTAATCAACCACTCTGTTCTTGTCATAATACCAAATTAACAACCAGTTTATGAGAAAATCAATTGAGTTTAATTCAGTCAATATGTTGTTGATACAATATACAAGAGCATATAAGGTTCAAGTCTCCAACATTCTTAAATGTTAACATCTTTCGATTTAAGGATAATGAAGGATTTAGACCTAATATAAATATTATAAAATATTATTTCTTTTCGAGGTACAAATTATTAAAAAATTAAATACATATGAATATATAATGAGACTTTAACTTTGTTTTTTAAAATTCACAAATTTCAACTTTATCATTAAGTTAAAACATTATTATATAATTAAAATGAAATATATATATAATTAAAGTTAATAAATTATATTATATAATTTAAGAAATTTCAAGTGTAAATTTATTTGTAATTATTTAAACATAAATAGGCACAAGTGTCAAACATGGTTTCATTCCGTGTCTTTTTCCTTGTACTTTAAGATAAAAGCAGCGGCTACTCCTCACGTTAACTTTAAAATTAAGTAACTGGAAACTTTATTATCGGATTGGAATGACAAATGACAAATGACAAACAAATAAAATAATAACAAAGTACGTAATAGCCAAAATGGCAGAGAAATCCGCAAAATACACAATGTGTTTGCAAATTTTATTTATTTATTTTTCATCAGATTTGGATATATATCCAGTAGTTATGTGTCATTCAAGTTAGGTCCTTAAATAGATAACATATTTCTTTTAGTGTTGTCTTTTCATTTTTCATCCATATATATGGTTCAAATTTCATTAAACATCTTATCATTTGATCTTTTCTTCGTTGTTGTTTTTTCTAGGAAGACTAAGCACACACCTTATCACGAAAAACTTCAAACACAGCCTTAGTTAGTGACTTAGTTAGAACATCAACAAGCTGATGACTTGCAGGGACATAGTTCACACGAAACTGGTTAACAACAACTTTTTCTCGGACAAAATAAACAATCAAATCAACATATTTAGTGTGAGCATGGTGCATAAGATTAGCACTTAGAGTAATAACACTCGTATTATCAAACCAGACGACCGGTGCTTCTCGTTGGAACACTTAGAGTAATAACATGTTTAGAATTTTTTTTTGTCATTGATCTTTTCTTTAATGATATAATGTCATGTTATTTTCAACACCAATTTAGTTTTTATTAAAATAAATTAATTATTTGCAAATCAATTTTTATTATCATTTATAAATCAATTCTTGTACGTACATGTCTAACCTTTCAATTTGAAATTTACAAACCTATTTATATATAATGATTTATAAATAAGGGTGAAATTTCCATAACGAATATATTAGATATTGATTCTCTGCATTATCAACAAAACTCATTATTTCTTTTTCTCAATGAGATTTTCCATTTCCTTTTCACATCACAAATCACAATCGAAAATTGCGTATTATTGTTTTGTAAGGTTAATTCATGTAATAAATTAAAGTTTAACAATGTAATATAATGCAAAATCCTACCACCTTCACTCTTTGTGGACAACATACCTATAAATTTCTCTATAAATTCTAATCGATATATCTTCCACGTTACTGTGAGATCTTCAAACCTCCAGCTAACTCTTTTCTAAATGGTATATCAAAAAAAAATGATTTAAAGTAACTAGGAGGATTTGTTCAAGTGGTAAATACTTTGATATTGCTGAAATATATACTTTTTTATTTTTCAAAAAATTAAAAATAAAATTATAATAATAGTTTACAATCGTAAATGTAAATTAAATTAAATGCATATATAATTAAGATATTTTTTTTATCATTATTGACATGAAATTAGTCATTTAAGTCATATAAGAATTATACAAGGAAATTGTTAAAAATACATCAAAAAAAACTCGAACAAAATAAAGATGTGAATAGATTTGTCTGCATCAGCAAACGAACCACAATAGGTGATCAAGCTATTGAAAGATCACCAATAATCGCAAATCAGAGTCGAGCGTCGTGATAAATTATCTTTGAACACAAATTGCATATCCAAATTCATCCAAGGATCCAAAGCAAGACAAATCAATTGTATAACAAATAAGTTTCATCTTAATTAGTCGATGTGATGTGAAATCCAACCCTAAAAAAATAAACAAAAAAGAACGGCCAAACCACCAATAGAGAATATCAAAGACGTGTAAAAAATGTATAGAAAAAACGTGTCAAAGACATAAAAAATTCTATCATGAAGACATAGTTATTAAAAATAAGGATGCGATATAAAAAATAAAGAATACCGATAATCAATGACCAACGCTAAAATCAATACCGCGAACAAAACTAAAGAGAAAGGCATGACAAGAACACATCCACGCCATTCAAATAAACGCCACCATGGAGACGGACATCACGAGCTCCCTTTCTCAAACAATAATTTTTGGGTTATTAGTTATCGACTTAGTTCTAGATGAATCTAAGATTTGAATTTTGGTAAAAATTATTTTTAATAAATAAAATATAAGAAATTAAGATAGACCGTGCATGAATGGAACAACATTCATAAAGTAAAGGTTGCTCCACTATATAATATCTATAGAACTTGTATTAAGTTTTGTCAAATAATTTATAGTCTTATTTCACTCACACAACATATGAAGTCCAATTTCTTAATCACAATTTATAGTACTCATTCTCCACCCAAACTTGTCGTAACCAATGAACGTGTAAACCATCAAAGATTATCCATACCGTAGAATGTAGGACAAATCAAGAACTAATATCATGAATAAGTTCATCTGACCTTACATGGTCACATACTAAATCACCCATTGCAGCAGTCTCAACAAATATATGAAATATTTCATCAACATTAAACTTAACAAAATTATTTAATGGACACTATCAATTAAATTCTTTTATTGACATCTTAGATGAGAGTCGTTCAAAGTATAAGCGATGAAGATATTAATTATGCTCTATTAATGAAAGATGTCACTGTACTTTATATCGACTATCCATTCCCATGAAGCACAAAATTTTTATGTGGTTAGAATGTCGATTAGATATTATCTCGTTAATATCCTGGTCAGGGCCATACAAAGTAAAAGAGGCGAAGACATTGGCCTCAAACCTAAAATCTTATAAAAAGCCTAATGGTAGACCCTCCTAATCGACATATTCCTATCGTATTTCAACTGTTCGATTTGGACAGTTAAAACCCTAAACCCTTCTCAAACAAAAGCCCAGGCGTCATCTTTCTTTATCGCTTCATATTCCTCAGGAGTGAAATCGTTCTTGATATTGAAGGTTGTTCGAATCTCTTCGGGTGACTTTCCCATGATCATATCTGCCACTTTCTGGCATGTCAAATCCAGCAAGCTCGTTATATTCAAGAAGTTGGAAGCCTGCGAATCAAATAATAATCATTAAAATTTTCAAAAGGGCAAAATACAGTTGCAGAATCGACTTGATAAAAACAAGAAAAAAAGAAACTAACCGTAATGAGGTCATAGAGGGTGTTTTGATCAACATCGACAAAATCAGAATCCCAAGTTTTAAGTTTCTCAAGAGCATCCGAGTTATTTTCCCCATCCACATGCATCTTGCAATACTCGAGGATCTTGCATAATATCTTGCCGGTGACGTTAGGGAGAGGGATTTCTTGGTTGGCGTAACCGTCTTCGATCATGTTTTTGATCATCAGCGACTGAAGTACCACAGCTTCTTCCACTTCAAAACTCTCTCCATCCCAACTCTTCAATGTTACCTTCTTGGAAGTTGACGCCATTACTGAATGCAAAAACTAGGATCCAAAGAGAGAAGGAGATTCTATACTTAAGCCGACTATAATTGTAGGGAAGAAGAGAGGTGTGTCTGATATTTATGGAGGGATTTTCTTTACGGAAAAAATATTATAAAAAAGGCTTATTATTTTATTTGGATTTTCTATCCTTATATGTATATGATTCTAATGCAAACTCTATTCTAAAATTTAGGGTAATTAAACTGATTTCAAAATATTCTAACACGAAGTAAACTTGTACTAATTTTATATATATTTAACTCTTTTATGAAGTCATATATGATTGGTGTAAAAAAACCAATTAAATAGAACTAATCGAAAACTAAATCAATATAATTGAAATACGTTTGTTTATTCAAGTTTTTTTCTTCGAAAAAGTTAATTGATTATACCAATTTTTTTATTAAACTAAATGTGATTACAAAATAATATATGTTCTAAATGTTCTCAATTATTTGAAAATAAGCGTTCAACCACCCTTGCAATTACTAGTGTTCGAACTCGTGATCTCTAAAAATAATAATCATTCTTTTAACCACTGAGATAAGTTAGTTTGTGCAATTTAATAAACAAATATAAAACTTAACTCAACTGAAATTAAAATATAAACTCAAAGTAGTACTTGTAAACTATCACTATATGTATTATTATAATAAACATAAATTTTTATTGATTGATTTGACAAATACTTACAATATTGATTCATGTATCGTAATAATACATAAAACGATCATTTAAATATTCAATTTCATCTATTTCTATTAATGTTAACCTATGTACTTTATTATATGGAATGATAATTTATATATCATATTAGATATTTTGACATTATATATCACATTGAATCTTTTAAAATTAAAAGTACTATATTTTATATTTTTTATCAAATTAAAGTTATTATATTAAAAATTTCACCGATAGATAATTACCAAATTTCACATTTTAAAAGTAGAGGTATCATAATGGATATGTTTTTGAAGTGCAAGTACCAAATGTGATGTTGTCGCCCTTCCCTACGAGCGGGTCCAAGGCAATCCAGCCCACTGTTGCTTCGAACATGGCACTTTGGGCTGTCTGACTGTGTTCTTTCGCGTCACAGCCCTAAACCTCAAACCTTAATATAAAGGAGCTGCACAAATTAGGAACGCAAAACCCTTGCTTTCATTTTTGGCGGGAGGATAGAAAGAAATCCTTGCGAAGAATCCAATCGAATGGCGGAGATGACCCCTGAGCAGGTAGAGGAAGAGTTCAGCGTATGGAAGAAGAACACCCCATTCCTCTACGATCTCATCGTTTCTCACCCGCTCGAGTGGCCTTCTTTGACTGTCCACTGGGTACCTTCTTCTCCCACCCCTTATGGAGCCGACCCTACTTTAAACGTTCACAAGATTGTCCTCGGCACCCACACCAGCGGTGGCGCCACGGATTTCCTCATGATTGCAGACGCAATACTCCCCACCCTTGCCTCTGAATCCAACATCGCCTCTAAAAATGATGACCCAATTATCCCTAAGGTTTGTTATGTTTTTATATTTTCTTTGCTTAACTTTTGGATACGGAGTAATCGAGGAAATTCATTAAGTTTTTTGAACCCTTTATTGGTATCTAACCAATATTCGTATTTACGAGGGAAGTTATCTGCCCACTTAATGTTTAATGAAATTACAAGCTGAAGTTGGTTGGGTTATTATAGGTGGAGATAACACAGAAAATGCGTGTTGATGGGGAAGTCAACAGGGCTAGATGTATGCCGCAAAATCCGGTTATTATCGGTGCAAAGACCAGTGGCTGTGAGGTTTTTGTGTTTGATTACGCCAAGCAGGCAGCAAAGGAGCAAGAGGGTGAATGTGTTGCTGATTTGAGGTTGAGGGGTCATGATAAAGAAGGGTATGGATTATCGTGGAGTCCGTTTAAGGAGGGTTATCTTCTTAGTGGTTCACAAGACCATAAGATATGCCTGTGGGACTTGTCAGCTTGGCCTCAAGATACTGTTCTTGATGCTACGCATGTTTATGAGGTATCTATGGGACTTTGCTCTTTTGTTTTATCGGAAATGCTCAGATTTTCATACTTGAACAATTTTTATCTGATTTGAATACCTTTGTAGGCCCATAAGAGTGTGGTTGAAGATGTATCATGGCATCTGAAGAATGAGAATCTATTTGGTTCGGCCGGTGATGATTGTCAGTTGATGATCTGGGACTTGCGCACTAACCAAACCGAACAACATGTTAAAGCTCATGAGAGAGAGGTTAATTGAGCTTCATGTTACAGTTTTGGTTTGTTTTAATGTTTCCATTTGATCATCTGATAAGGTATATTCATTTTTGTCTCAGATCAATTATTTGTCGTTCAATCCCTATAATGAGTGGGTTCTGGCCACAGCATCTTCTGACTCCTCCATATGTTTGTTTGATATGCGAAAGCTGACTGTTCCTTTGCATGTTTTAAGCAGTCACAGGTTAGTCTGCTTCCTTCCAGATTGATCCTGATATTAATATGCTAAAGCAAATTACACACAAATGTTAATGTGCGGTAATTGATAACAAGGTCTATTAAAATTATACTTCTATCTGCATCTGACTCCATTAGTTAAGGAAATATTTTACTCTTTGTTCAAAGTAATTAGATTCATTTAATTGATAAACTTGTGTAAAGGAATTCCCAATTCTACTTACTGTTTGCTTCAAGTTATACTGGAACATTTGTTATTAATTTTCGTTCCTTTCCATTTGTCACCCCTTGCTTTTAGGTAAGCTGCACAATTTGTATCAGCTACTCCATGATCCATTTACTCAAAATGGTGCTTGAAAATCATTGAAATAGGACTTATCACCTTGTATTTGTCTTTTACAGTGGAGAAGTCTTCCAGGTAGAATGGGATCCTAATCATGAGACGGTGCTGGCATCTTCTGGTGATGATAGAAGATTGATGATTTGGGACCTTAACAGGTAGTTCAGATTTGGATCGATATTAGAAATCTGTTCAATGCTTTTGTTCTACATGTCGTCTATCTCAGATTATGCCTTCACTTCTCTTTCTTTGCTTTCAAGCTTTATGTGACCATACACCATGTTAGATTATATATATCATATAATAAAAATTCTTTCCTCCGATATGATTCTATGAACTATTCTGAAGTTGGTGGGTGCAACATGATCAATTTGACCATTTCACAGCCCAAACTGCTGAATTCCTTTGTTCTTATGGTTTTGATCATCTTTGGGCTTGCCTAAGACTATTAATCCACTTAACCACCACTAACATTGTTTCATTCATATAAACATTCTAAACTGCTCATGCTGTCCCTCACGACCTATTATTGGTTTATTATTGATTCGCAGGATTGGAGAAGAGCAATTAGAAATCGAGTTAGATGCAGATGATGGCCCTCCTGAGCTTCTTTTTGCTCATGGGGGCCATAAAGCTAAAATTTCGGATTTCTCATGGAACAAAAATGAGCCATGGGTGATTTCGAGTGTAGCCGAGGATAATACTCTTCAGGTGTGGCAATTGGCAGAGAGTATATATCGAGACGACGATGACATTCAAACCGCCGAGGAGTGAGGACTATCACATAGTTCATAGATATTGGTTTTAGAGTCTTAAGAAGGACCCTTCAAGTGAGTGAACGCTAGGTATTATCATATTTTCTAAGTGAGCAACTTTAGGAGTGTTGAACATGTAATTTAATATTCAAACCTTCCGTCTGCTATAATTAGCTTATTTAAGGTTGATTTACTGTTGAACTAAAGTTTCTGTAAAATTTAACCTGAAATTGGAGACTTGATGTTTGTTTTAACGCTCCCATAGTCTTACAACTACAAGTTTTCATCGAACATTCGTTGATCAAAACCTCGGTTAAAAGATGGCACTTGAGTAGCCGTCTCTGGCCTTCCTAAACAGTAATTACTGATGGATCTCATACATTGTGAGATAATTTATTAGCTCGGTAACTGTTAAGAAACCAGATGGTAGGAGCTATAAACCATAAGTTTCCACTTTACAAGCCTGTTGTCTTTAAACCATAAACTAATTGCAGTTATTTACTTCCATTAAAAGGTTGAAGGAGTTGATGGCATCATGGGTGCTAGTGCGCTGCCCAATGTCAGTTTGTGACCTACTTTGTTCGGCAATGTAATCAACAAGGCTGCACATTACTAAATATTTTGTGCTGCTCATTATAACGGTAAGAACGAATTGCCTCTATGTATGTAAAAGAATTGCCATTCATTGAATGAACTTAGGAAGATATGCAGGATGGAGTGCTGACAGATAATCAAGAAACAATGGATGCTTTGGTTAGGGCATTTCATCTTCCTTTATCCATTCTTATAGTTGGAGTGGGGACTGTAGACTTTAAACAAATGCAATTTTATTCTAGAACAATCTTTTCAAGTGTCACCTTTTGCATTAGCAGCGTGCTATAGTTGTAATTTTTCTAGGATGATAAGAAAATGTTTTTGGTTCTGTGAAAAGGCTCTATTTGATTATGGCTCATAAGGACTTGGACTCTCCATATCTTTATACATTGTTCAGTAATACGAATAAAGTTTGGATGAATCATATATACATTAAATTATGACAATCAACTCCTAAAGTTTACCTTTCCTTCTTTTTGTGCCAGAAGGTTTGCCATTAGGCCCTGCACTTCCAACCCCACGCTCCTTGGCTCCAGAGTTGTGAATTTCCAAACACTGAATATCATCAGTTTCACGCCCATCAAATCCATGTCCGTCCAGTGCTGCAGCTGCTTCGACCCCCGGGTGAAGGCAATACATCTGGTCATTGCATTGCACTTTGCAGGGATTCATCACATAAGCACCAGGCAAATTCATCGGCTCAACATTAGTTGTAGGTTTCTGATAAGGAAACAATCCAATCTCCCCTTCAATTCTTCCTCGAACATCCACTAGCAAACACTTTAGCCTTGCAACCTCGGCCTCCAATGCAGCCTGCCCATGCAACCTCTTCAACAGCTGCTGGTTCAACGTCCTCAACCGAACAACTTCATCTTCCAACGAGGCTGCTCGTTCCTTAAGCTTTTGCCTATACTTCCTAACAGCTTCTCGATTCCCCAAAGGCCGTTTCTTCGATTTCTTCTCCCTAGACCCCTCGTATCATCGGCAGCAGCCTTATCTTCAGTCAGGGAAGGCACAATTTTGGTATGAACATGGAAACAGGTATGTGTATGAGAGTTATCAGGGCCAGGTGGATTGCAAGTGTGTGTATGAGTACATGCATGAGAATCATCGAGTATTTGGTCGAAAAAACTGTCCATGGAGCAACTGCTTGGAATATCACCCGTGTTATTGCCACCAGAAAACACTTCTTGGTTCGAAAAATCAAGCTCTCCATCGTCCATTACAAGTAGAAATCCCCAGAAAAATCAGAGGGAAACACTTGAATATATTTAAGGAAATATAAATTTATGATTTTGAAACTGATCCAGAAAACAAAAAATGCCCAATTAGAAAATGAAAATACCATATATATATATATATATATATATATATATGCTTTTTATATTAAAAAAATCCTAATAATTCCTATATACATGTTATTCAAAGCAAGTATTACAAGATTAAGATGGGGGGGGGGGAAACAGAAATTTCATCTCAAAATGAAAATCACCAATTATAATCAGCAAAAAATAAGTAGACAAGAGAGAGCCTTAGTAAGCCAATAAAGAAAACAGCAAGCTGAACAACATGGGATGATCCGAATAATTGGATACAATTAAGGTTCAACAAGAAACCAAACGAACAACGAATCGAAGGAAGAGCATCGTTATCAAAGATTCGACAAATCGAAACCCTAGAAAAATAATCATAGCATTTTGAAGATTCCTAAAATAGACGTACCGCAAACAAGGGAGGAAACCGGAGAGCTTAAGTTGCAGAGATTCCACTGTCCTGTTTTTTTCTTGGTCGGAAATCGTGGAGTCCTTGTTGCTTTCAATTTATAGGTACTTGAGGGACTTTGTTATAAATTTAGAAAAGAATTATATGCGGTGGTACTATGGTGTAATGATGTTTATGAATTGAAAGATGTAACTTAAAGGTTGCACCGTTCGATGTCTAAAATTACCACGTGGTTGGATTATGATTATATGGATCAATAATTTGATGTGACTTATGGTACGAAAATTCAAAGGAGTGGTGGGAAAGTCATGTAATTTGGTCCCATTATTTATTTCATCATCTTTACTTGACATTTAAAATTTATTTTATGAAAAATTATAATCATAAAATAATGAGGTTGAAACAATAACTTCCGTGATTGATGTGGAATAGAAAGTCAAGTTGCGGCACTTGAGCAGTTGAGCTAAACTTTGTGGGGAAGCAGCGTATAAGGTAGACACGGCAATCCGTATATTCATCCATCGTGTATTCATTTAGTTAAAGTTATCATGTTGTGTTTGTGTGGTGGTGGGATTCAATCATATCAATGTTTGACAAGTATATATAAACAAATGGCTGCTTTGCATTTTACTCCAATGGGATTGTCTAGGAAATACGATTAATATACGGTTAATATATGGTATTATCAGATATATTAAAAGATATTTAATAAATTCGGTTTAGCGCTACCTATTATGTTGACAGACTAATAATATTTTAGGTAGAAAATATGAAAAAACTATTAAAAATTTTGGTAACCGATAAACTTTGATTATCGGTAAATATCGATACATATATATAAGTGTCTATGCTTATTTTACTGTGGAAAATATTAATTTAAGATTATGTTTTAGTGAGTTTTAAGATATTAATTTAGTAATTATACACGTCTAATGATTTATTTTTATGTTACGGTATAAATTATTATTAAATTAAAAATAATAAACATAGATATTACATATTATTATTATCTTTGGTTAAAATTGTTAAATTTAAATTCTAGATAATATTTTATAAAATATCAAAACAATCAAATAATTTTTTTGTGTAAATGAAATTATTAAATTAATATTGTATGTGGAAAACATGAAGCACTATTAAAAATTTTTGAAACATAAATTACATAATTTTCAACAAAGTATCGATACATTTTTATAAAAAAATATCTATACTTTCAACATATCAGGTAAATTTTATCGGTTTTATCATAATGTTACCTGATATGTTGAAAGTATCGATCCTTTTTTATAAAAAGGATTGATACTTTACAATATAACAGGTAAAAATATGATGTAATAGGTAGCGCTTATATAATGTAATAGGTAGCGCTTATATAATGTAATATGTAGCGCTTATATAATAAAATATATTAATTACTGTAAACATTATCAAATATAATAACATATTAGGTACCGCTTATATAATGTAATAAGTAGCGCTTATATAATGTAATAAGTAGCACTTATATAATGTAATAGGTAGCGTTTACATAATAAAATAGGTTAATTACTGAAAACATTATCAAACACAATAACATATTATGTACAACTTATATAATGTAATAGGTAGCGCTTATATAATAAAATAGGTTAATTATTGGAAAATTATTAAGGACAATAACATATTAGGTAGTGCTTATATAACGTAATAGGTAGTGCTTATATAATAAAATAGGTTAATTATTTAATTTGTTATTATAATATATTAGGTAAACGCCTAAAATATTACCAATGATAACATAACCGGTTATTTACAGGAAATATTATCAAGTATAATAATGTAAACGGTAAAAAAAATAGGCGCTACCTATTACATTAAACTACCTACCGGATATGTTGAAAGTATCGATTCCATTTAAATAAGTATCGACACTTTTGGAATTTAAAAGAAAATCAGTAATAGTTCCTATAAACATCAAATACAATAAAATAATATTATTTATTAATAAAATAATATTATTATTTTTAAAATACTAGAATAATTTATTTAATATTATTTATGTAAATATTATTATTAAAATATTATATCTATAATTTTATAGATAAAAAATTATGATTATTATATTTTATTAAAATAAAATTATTATAAATTATATTTTTTATTTTTTATAATAAGAATAATATATCATTAATTATATTATAATGAGAGAATAATTAAGTATATGTGTCGATACATTTTCTAAAAGTATCGACACATATGTTATAATTATAATGTAATAGGTAAATTTACAATGTAACTGATATACAACAATAACAAAACAGGTAAAAATTACCGAAAATATCATTATTTTAACAAAACATGTAAAATGCTATCGATTTTGTATTTTTTTTATCGATTTTGTTATTGTTGGGCATTTTATCTGAAATGTTAAAAAACATTGATATTTTAGGTAAAAATAATAATGTTTTAGGTAATTTTTACCGATTTTGTTATGCCCAACAATAACAAAATCGATAAAAATAGAATTTTTAATGAAAAAAAGAGTAAACACAAATTATACAAATTAATTTTAATTTTTTTAGTTTGTAAGTTGCCACAAAATAACTAATGAAAAAAAAGACACGGTATTTCTATTTCGATATTAACTTTCAAATAATATATATATATATATATATATATATATATATATATATATATATATATATATATAATTACAATATAATTTTAAAAAATAATCATAAAGAAGTGACGAAAAATAATCATAATTACATTATAATTATAAACATCAAATTCAATAAAATAATATTATTTATTAACAAAATAATAATATTATTTTTAAAATATTAGAATAATTTATTTAATATAATTTATGTCAATATTATTATTAAAATATTATATCTATAATTTTATAAATAAAAAATTATGATTATTATATTTTATTAAAATAAAATTATTATAAATTATATTTATTATTTATTATAATAAGAATAATATATCATTAATTATATTATAATGAGAGAATAGTTAAACATATGTGTCGATACATTTTCTAAAAGTATCGACACATATGTTACATCGAAACCGATAATTATAATGTAATAGATAAATTTACAATGTTACCAGTATAAATATACCGATTTTATGAGAGAATATGTCTACATAATGTATCGACACAAATTTAAAAAGTGTCGATACATTTTGTTCAGAATGAATGCCAAACGAGGTGCACACATAAAGTGTCGATATATTTATTAAAAGTATCGATCACAAAAACATCGAAACCGATAATTACAATGTAATATGTAAATTTACAATGTATTTAGTAGAAATATATCGGTTTTATGAGAAAATAAGTCTACATAATGTATCGACACATTTTAAGTTTGTGTCTATAATTTTTTTCCAGAATTAATGTCCAACGAGGTGCACACATAAAGTGTCGATACATTTATTAAAAGTATCGATCTTAAAAAATCAAAACCGATAATTATAATGTAATAGGTAATTTACAATGTACCCGGTAGAAATATACCGGTTTTATGAGAAAATAGGTCTACATAATGTATCGACACGTTTTAAGTTTGTGTCGATACTTTTTTCCAGAATGAATGCCCAACGAGGTGCACGCATAAAGTGTCGATACATTTAAAATTGTATTGATCCCAAAAACATCGAAACCGATAATTATAATGTAATAGGTAAATTTGTAATGTTACTGATATAAATATACCGATTTTATGATAGAATAAGTCAATATAAACGCTACCTATTACATTATATAAGCGCTACCTAATATATTATTATACTTGATAATATTTTCAGTAATTAACCTATTTTATTATATAAGCACTACCTATTACATTATATAAACGTTATCTAATATGTTATTGTGTTTGATAATATTTCCAGTAATTAACATATTTTATTATATAAACAATATCTATTACATTATATAAGCGCTACCTAATTTATTATTTTAATAATATTTTCAGTTAAATCATATATCATAATCGTCGAAATTTTAACAGTTAATTTTTAGTTGTTTTTTAACCGGTGCACAGCATAAATACCCAACTGTTCATGTTTTTAGACATTCCCAAAACTGGGTTTTCCACAAGCTGTCAGCTTTTAGTTCTTGACATGGCAGTAATGTAATTGAAACTCGCTCGCCTCCATCTTTCTTTTAAATATTCCTCCATGGAAATGAATCATCGAGCATCAAGAAGACTTAAATGTAACTCTGCCTTGGAATTCGGATAAACTTCATCATCATTTTGATCTTGGTCTTTTTGTTGGTCTGCTATTTTGCGAGCAACAGTTGTTTCCCCTCTTAAGAGCTCCAGTATCTGTATCCAGAATATGTAAATGAAGATTCATTTCACAATGTTGATAGAAAAGCTTGATAATAGCTACCTCACTCATCTTCGGCCGGAGTCGAGCCGATTGAGTTATGCACAGGGTTGCTGCTCCAACCAGTATATGCATCCGAGTCTCGTCCACGTTTCCATTCAAGTCGGGGTCCAGTAGCCGCTTCATATCCTTGCTCTCTATTATTTTCTTTGCCTAAAATCAATTCATTAATGGTCATATACCATACATATTCAGAGATTGTTTGAGACAAGATTCTTACCCACATGACCAAGCTCTGCTGGCCCTCGGGGTTCTCAAAGTTTATTGGTCTTTTCCCGGACAGCAGTTCAAGTAGAATAACACCAAAAGCATACACATCCACCTTGTCACAAAGTTTACCATACATGAAATATTCTGGAGCTAAATACCCAAATGTTCCAACAACATCAGTTTGTGTGAAAAATGATGAACCAGTTGGTCCCCATATTGCTAGCCCAAAGTCGGATAACTGTCACATAGAAAATAGATGGCCGTGTTATCGGTTTTCGACATTATTTTGATTAGTTACCATTTCTCAGTTACCTTTGGTTCAAGCTTATCTGAAAGAAGAATGTTTGAAGACTTGACATCACGATGAATAACAGGTTGAGGAGACTGGTTGTGTAGGTAATTTAGGCCTTCAGCAATCCCAACAGCAATCTTATATCTCACTTCCAATGTCAACCCATGTTTTTCTTTATTCTTTCCTGCAATATACATTAGCTTGCATCTGTAAGGTCTTATCCGAGTCCAATTAAGAAACATAGATCTCATGGAAAGGCATACCGTGCACAACTTCTTCCAAGCTTCCCTTGGATGATAAGTCATAGACAAATAATAGCTCGTGATCGCTAATGCACACACCGATTAGAGGCATGACGTGCTTATGATTCAGCGACATGATTATTTCAATTTCATTGGCGAAACTTTTGCAGGCCTCTTTTGATGACTTGAGAATCTTAACAGCAACAGCCTTGTCATCCGGGAGGATACCCTTGTAAACAAGGTTGCTGGGGCCTTTTCCGATCAGATTCTCTGCCATGAAACAGAATTTTAGCCAAAGAAAACATAATAGAAAACACATAATTTGCAAGGCTCGTTAGAGACGCAAAACCTGGGGAGAATTGGGATGTTGCAGCTTTGAGGACATTATAAGTGAACCACTTGCAATTAGATGAGTTCGTTTTCAAGAGTTTCTCCAAGTGTTTCCGCAATTCAGATGACATATTCTCATCTTCACTGCCACGGAATTCAACTTCCAATGGCTCTTCTTTGATGGTAGAACATCTAGGACTACGATAAGGCGAACGACTCGGTAAATTCATTACCCAGTTAACAACTGAGATACTCCTGGCTAGCTTTGCTTGCGGTGTTGCTGGACAAGCAGTCCTCAGGAGGAGGGGCCAGCCAGGCTTACAGTCTATATATTTACCTTCAGGAACCCAAATGGACTGGGATATCTTCGGATCTTCACTACTGGTTCTTGATTCATCTTTCAAGCTTTGAATCCCTTCAAAACTCGATATCTCTGACCCTACATCGGAATCACCATATTCTGATTCCCATTCTCTAGCAACACTGTTTTCAATCAAACAAAGACTTGGTCTTGGATCACCGGTAAAACCTGACATAGTTAAAATTTATCTCTATAACTTCTGAAGACAAAATTAGAAACTAGAAGCCTGTTTCATTTATATTCCTAGGACAGTTAAAACCAAACCTGGCAGTTGATTATTGTTGGACCTACTGAAGACAAATTTCCCATTGTAGATAGCGACAACATCAGTCGTTGCCGGCAACCTTCTTGCGCAATATTGAGCAGTGGAAGTCCAACCCCTGAAAACGATATATGTTTTGAGAGTAATCAATCAGACAAAGAGTCAAACCAGTTTAAACAACCAAAACAAAGATTGAATCTCTAAATTGTTTCCTTTACCCGAGTGCACAATGTTTGCCTGTGCCGAGAACTAAAGCTACAGCAGCATAGTTGTTTGCTTCTCGAATCAAAACATTTCGAGTTGAATTTCCTTTGAAAATCTGGCCTTTAAGACCTATCTGAAATCAAATTATGCAAAATCAGATTATGAAATCAATTCATTTATCTAAAATGCCTACATTGATAACGAACGTACCTTCTTCATAGAGCATAGGTCTTCATATGCTTCTAAATAAGCCTCTAACAACAAATTCTCTCCCAAAGCATTATCTTCATAGAAAACTTCAAATTAGAAACATGGAAGAACTACATATTACTTTACTAATGAACCTAGGAAAGCTATGTTGCTCCGGCTCTTGATTTTTCTTAAAAGTTCCCACGGGTATTGAGCTGTACATGAAAAACATACGAAAATTGAATACAATCATATCCGACTAGAGAGTTACCAAAACTGGGGGAGACATGAAGTGCAACAACACAATCACCAGGTTCTGCAACTTTTACAAGAGCCCAACTAAGCAAATCCCTGCTTTGCCCGTCTAATCGAATCCCAACCACCACATTTCTCTTCTCAGGGGGCATCTTTTCTTAACTTCACCCTCACTAATTATCTTAAAACCAAAGCATACCTTCTTATGAATTTCCGAGGACAAAATTACAAACATTTCAATCTCAGAAGCTCCATCTCCACAGTCGAGTTGTCCCAAAAAAGTAGCCCAGAAAACTAGTTAACACTGTGCGATTATAAATGAAACACCATTAACATATTTTCATTTGAAAACCAAGTGAAGATAACCAACAACTCTGTGAATCATGGAACAAAGACAAACAAAACAAGACAAAATCATTTGTATCAATTCATTCTTTGTATTAAAAGGAAGAGAAAAAAAAACGTTTTAAAAAGGTTATATTGCTGCCAAATGACATCACCCCTTTACCTGCTGAAAATCAAATTTCCAAGTTTGACCTCGATTTAATTAAAAATATTAAATATGCATTTTACTACTGTAATATAAAATGACTAAAAAATTATAAATATTTTAATTGTGAATTCAATTACGCAGTTGAACTTCATTAAGAGATCAGTGGATCCATTATAAGTAATTCTTAGTGCTCATTTTTTTTCCTTTCCTAATACGCACGGCATGAACTCATTACTTCATCATCACGATCTTCATGCAAATCCCTAGCTACTTATCTACTGCAATTTTTCTCTTTTATTTTAATTTAAAAAAAAAACAAGTGGTTTGCCCCAAGTCAATTGTCATTTTCTTGATTAATTTTTCAAAACATGGTCCCAATTTTTAACCCATAGTTCCTAATCGTTGAGCTCGGTCAATGACGTAACTAGCAAGTTATTAATTAAGTACGTGATCAATTATAATATTAGAAGGATGATTATTTGGTGTCAAATATTTTTACTTAGTAGAGTAAAAAATTGACAAATATTATTTAATATGCTATTAATGAAATATTTACAAATAACAGTTTTTAATTTCACTTTTATTAAAGAATAAAAGTGTATTCTTTTAAAAGTACATCAACGAACAAAAATGATATAAATGTTACGTAAACCCTTTTATTTTTCCTTCTAATGGAACAAAAGTAAAGATATATTGAATTTATTCATTTTCCTTCCACTATTTACATAATATAATATATTCATATATAATTTCTACTTATGTACAAATTTCTTGCAGCTGCATGCGACAGTGCTTCACAAAATACTCTCTGAGAAAGTCATTTGTGCTTGTGTTGTAGTCGCATTCACCTATCACAGATTAAACAAAAAATGCTCACAAATGAGAAATATAGCCCAGGGCTTTTAGGGATTTGAGTCCGAGTATAAACAAGACACATGAATCTACAACTCACTCCGGCTCGGTTATTATCTAATCGAGCTTGAATTATCAAATGAAGTTGAACTCAAGTATCTTCACGCTTGACTCGAGCAACACAAACTTGATAGACCTTTTTTTCCCCAATTCGAGCTCGATCTAAAACACAAACAATCAAGCTAGAAGTCAAGTATGAGATTTTCTATTAAAGTAAACGAGCTCAACCGAACGAACTTCAAGTCTCAAGTTTTCAGTCAAGCAGCTTCTTACAGTTTGAGCTCAAGTCAGCTTGATTACATTCCTAACTATGAGGCACGAGCACGAATTATGAACGGATGGTCCACCATTATATTTGTAACTAGCCTTGGGAATACAACAAAATCTGGAAGTGACGTGACCGGAAACCGTCGTTGGAGCAAAAAATAATGCGCCATCTCAAAACATCAAACAATCTCAGGTGAGAAAATTGACCCAGATTATCATACACAGGTCTCTGTTTTGGTTACCCATACGACATCATGATAAATCGAATGATCCATGCCCTTCACTGATTGCATATATCAATTTCTTGTACATAATCTCCTGTTCAGATAGCAGCAGCAGGGAATGATGAATAAATGAGAACGATAAGAATAATCAAAGGATCAATCAAGGTTCTAACTAATCATGCCTTGGTAGAATATGGAGGAAGCTTCAAGAAATTAGCACAAGTCATGACACTGGACAAGTAATCATCGGCTGATTCCAAGGCTCCAGTTCCAGCAGCACTTGCAGAATGCTGCATTCAGAACACATAAGCGTTAGAACCATAAACATTAAAAAAGATAATGATAATAAAAGGAGATCCCAAAGCAGCTGAATGAAATATATTTACAATTAGGCTTAGAAATGATTAGACCAACACCGTTGAAGAAAATCCATTACTTTCAAGTAAGTGAGAACATTGATAGAAACTTTTTCAATCTAACCCCAGTTACCTTCCTAACAATCGTCAGTTTAGGATTCAGTGCTGCCAGACCGCCAGGTGGAAGTTTGGCTGCACCAGTAACAAATTGGCAGAAGGCCCGTTGCTGCTTTGGTGTAAATTCTCCCATAATTTCAAGTAACTACAAAATCATCATTATGCATCAAATAGAGTTTAAACCAGTAACTAGATATCAAAACAATTAAGATTGTAATGAAAACAAACATAACAATTGCAGGGCTCTTTGCCGTATATCCATGATCAAATTTTATGTGATCAACAAGTGTCTCAATCTGCATATATAGAAGTTGGAATTGTTAAATCAATGTGGCCAACCAGTTCTAATCAAAGATACCTCCCACAACTCCCTGCGACCACACAGCAAATACTCAAGCTCTTGGGGAGTAAAGATTTGTAATGAAACAATATCAAAAACCTGCTTATTAACGAATATATTAGCATGGCAATGAAATCACCGACATAGATCCATCATACATGCAAAGAATTAAAAAGGAAATCCAGAATGAACATCAACAAATGGTTAATCAAGAAAACTCGGAACTAAGGCAACCCTGACCTGATTAAATCCAGCCCTAAATGACTCCATTTGCTGCATAATTCCAGTCTTGACAGTCGCATCAATAACCAGAGATATGTATTCCTCCAAGTTTTTGATATCCACCTGTTCTATGTAATGGAAGCTCAGAATAATCCGCTGGCAAGGAGAAAGAAAAAAGAAAAAACCAGTGAGGGAATAGAATTAGAATTTGAAAGCATACAGTTTCATCTCCTGGCTTCAATACGTAGTCTGGATAACCCGGGAGTGAAAAATCCAAACAAAGATCTTCTATCTGCACTCCACGGAAGCGTAAATCACCAATTGCATCACCATTGTCACCACAAATTGATTTCAAATATTGCTTTCGACAAACAAGAAGATGCAATTCTAGCAAAATTTTCCCAAGCTCGGAATCCAAAGACAATATTGTGCAAATCAAGTTCCTGCAATGGATTAGAAATCAACACCTTCAGCCAAAAATGTAGAAAGACCATTGAGGCAACACTAGGAATTTTATAGATATTCAAATATGTAATCTGATTCTGCTTACTTCACCGAGCAAAAGTTTATAAAATGATGTTGACAGAGGCAGGTCTAAAAGCCGTCCATCTTGAAGAGCTTTTGCCATTACACTCCCCAGCAGCAGCAAATTTTCAAGTACTTTAGAAAACTGGGTACCTTCAGAAGCATTAGCATTTGGCGGCCAAGGTCGAGGGAACAATCCCAAAGGAGCTTGGATCATATCTCCATTAGTAGTAGAAGCAGTAGTTTCTCCTTTTTTTCTTTTCATCTCCATCAATTTCCATTAATGACTTATTCGACGTAGAATTTGATCTCCACATTCCAAGTTCAAACTTTTGCAAGTCATGGCTTAAAAGTGTATAGAACTCCAAAGTTGGACCCAATCCAGTGCCAACTTCTCAAAAATATTCAACTTCAAGCACAGCTTTTTGAACAGAATAAAACTTCATTAATTTTGCAGCAGAATCCAAAATACGGTCCCGTGAGAGACGAACTTTTTGTCGCTGTAATCTCCCGACCCTCACCTCTCGTTCATTAGTTGTCCCTTGGTCATCAGAACTCTGTTGTTGCTGAAGGCGGTATATGTCACGGTTGGGAGAGAGGAAGAGAAGCACGAAGCGATGGGCATTGGGGATTTAGAAAATGAATTAGGGATTGAGCACGTAGTGAATTGGGGAATTTTGATGAAGAGGAATTAAAAGGGGAGCATGTGACTCACATGGGAAAACTAACATGAAGAAAAGGAAGGGAAACAAGGGTCTTAGGATAAGCCCAAGCCAAAATAGGAGGAAACCTAGTGATTGTGATTAAATAACATGTACTGCATAATATAGTTTTCATGTGTGAAAAGAATTAACTTTTTCTTCTCTTGAATCTATATTCTCTCGTCTATTTTCTCATCTTTTCTTCTCTTCTTCGTCTATTATCTTCTCTATTTCTTGAGGGTCATAACAGTATAATGCACGAGACAACCCGTAGGCAGTTGAATAAAAGTACTTCCTTCGTGTCTCAAAAGGAAATAAAAAGGGGCATGCCTTTGTCAAATGGAAACACCAGCATGGAAGGTTTCCACTGCAAAGAGTAAGGCCATCCTGTATTTGCCGAGCCAGTTTTGGAGTTAGCTTACCATTAATAAATTCCTCCGAAGGAACTCTAGAACCAGTGATACTCAACTCATCCAGATTTAAAAATTTTCCCTCAGCAAAATTGTCAGAAAATATCAGAAATATTAAACGAGGTGCAAGTTGATTCAAACCCTCTAACACACGCAACAGTGCCAATATAGTATAGGTAGGATTAGATCTTTCTAGATCACAAGGAAGCTCCCCTTGCAAGATGCTATCTAAAAGTGATATTCTATGAGTTTGGGGATCGGAGATGTAGCTGGAAGAACCATAGCAGAACTTGATCCCGCCACAGATGTTCGGTCAGCTTGGCTATCCGCCCTCTGATATGTTATTGTGTAGATATCATTCCACAGTCTGCTTCCCTCAGTGGAAATAAAACCACTAGCAGCACAACTTTCATCATCATCCTCATCCAACACAAGCTGTCCTTGAATCGCCTGAGAGATTGTGAAATGCCTTTTGAGCTGCTTACCACCAGTAGTGAATATCAATTTTGGAGGCTCATTAGAACTACTAAATGAATGCCACCCTTCTAGATCTCTAGCTCCCCTAATACCACTACTATTGACAGTTCCAGGCCCAGCCATGGAAACAGCTGAAACCAAAGTAGCACCCTTTGAACCATAAGAACTCCTAAAATCAGCAGAGTCTGAACACTTAACGGCAGTATCTCTGCTGCTAGATCTTGAAGCTTCATTTATTTGGCTATCACTAATGCCCAGGGCACATGTTCCATCTTCAGCTGAATCACCCAATTTAACATCATGAACTTTGTCTGGCATGCAAACAGGAAGAGAATCATCGCTGAGCACCTGGAACAAC